GTTTGCTTATCAAAGGGTATTCCCATCTAGGGTGAACTGTAGTTTCGACATCCCCTAGATTTCATCAGCACTCCTAACAGGACTAGAACTCAGATAGAGCAGTGTATAGTAACAATTTTGACGACGAATTGTCGACAAGCAAAGTTGTATTTGCTAGGACAATCGACTGTTACTTATTATCCGTTTATAATTAGGTTTCCGTGATTATTCGATCATATATAAGAACGGTATTTACCCACTTATAGCTCGCTTAGAGTGCTGATGAGCTAGGCGAGATCAAAACTGTAGTCCACCCTGGATAAGAAAACCTTTAGGAAAATAATGCTAGGTTGATATAACTGTTTTGACCTCGTTTTACTGCTTTACTTACTAGAACACCTGGAAATGATGACCTATTGTTCTTTTATAAATAAATAAATTGTATTTATTAGATTTAATGTATTCATTAGCTCAAGGAATTGCTTCCTCGTTCTCGTAACTTGGTAGTGTTGTCAGGAAGACTTAGTTGGACGCACTCTGTCCGAAGTCCTCTGTTATAGTAGTTATGATAATTACAAGCATCGTACGATGGACTTGGTACAGTCACAGACGTTAGCCGGCATTATAGTCAGCATCGTCAGTGAGTCTTGCCATTCTTAGCACCAAGCAGCAACTCGTCAAAGAAGCAAGTGAAGTAAATCCCTTAACCAGCCATCTGCTGAACGGCCATGTAATCACTGCAATTGCTGGCCTATAACATCAAATTACTACCTACCCTTTTATCGAACTCGCGCCCCATTACAACTGACGCTTTCATATTTCACTCCTCAAAAGGTGCCCTTTTTGCGAGTTTACTGTGGTGTCATTACACGTGAAGTTTGTCTCGCCTCCCTCCCTCTCAATTTGCTGATCCGACTCGGGCCGCCTACCAGGATCTCTCTCACGGGCCCGTAGATCCATTTCTTATCCTTTTGGCCGACCGATTTCACTCGGTTCAAGTGTACGTTTTACTCCGGGTGCTATTTCTTAAGCCTTCACTAGAACATACAAAGTTATGGAAAGTAAATTCATCTAGGTAAACGAAGTAAAAATTTCTAGAGTATGCAAAAATACCCTGATATTGAACAGAAAAAAAGTTGGGATAGGAATGAATTATGGAATTTATGAATTCAGTAATAATAGGAACATATCTAATCTTTAATGATAAATTGTAAAAGCTAACATTATATTCAGCTGTGCGATCAAGTTTCATCTAAAATCAACATTTAATACAACTGGAAAAGGAATTTAAGTCGCTAAACTACTCGATAGGTATATGGGCGACTAGTCTGCCGTTTGAAAAAGCTGTAAAGAAACCACAGTCTAAATGATTTCCAAAAAATAAGTGAATAAATCCGAGGGAAAGACAAAGTACAATATTAATCTACGAAAGGATGGTAAACTACCTATATTAAAAATCCTAGCAGAAGAAACTAAAGCGTGTGTAGGAAACTCATAAGTGTTAATTCCATTTTGGACTTCGTTTCGATGACTTCGTTAAATGAGGAATTAAGAAATTGTGATTATGAAGGGGTGATACAAGGATACAAAATAGGTGAATAGCCCAGGACAGGAAAGATACCACAACTGTTTAGCGGATAATTGGTCATAGGATCGACTTCACTTGTCTCGTTGGCGAGTTGCAGTGTGGCGCTAAGAATGGCAAGGTTCACTGACGATGCCGACGAAACGTCTGCGAATGTACCGAGTCCATGACCCAACTCTGGAAATTATCATACATGCTACGGACTCCGGATTAGGTTCCTTCTCTAGGTCTTCTTGCCAATATGGCCAAGTTGCGAAAACAAGGTCAAATAATTACTATATAGCAAAAGAAGACCGCGACCATACAAAAAGATGCATCATCTTGGCCTTCATACCTTCAATTCAACTATAGAAAGTTAATGAAATCGGTTATAAAAGGTAGTTTGAACACGTTTTCAGAAATGAGGATGGATTCCGGATATTCTCGTTAGCCAATTGGAAGCCCCCAATTTTTCAAGGGCACATATCGTCTGTGCATGTTTGTGTAAGATTAACGATCAATGAGCCATAGATACGACCAAAAAAGCAATTCATTACATTTAATTTAAAAAGTCTATTTTAATAAATAGGTCAGTTATTTTGTCGTTTTAGCAGCGGATAAAGTTTAATAAAAAGGTAATATAAAACAGTAATAGTGGTTAGCTTAAAAAAGGAAGTAATCGTTTCTATTTTGGAGGTAACGTTATCCGCCGCAAACCTGGAAATAAAGGCGATCATCAAAGAGGTGTATAGATTTGGGACAAGAGTAACAGGCATTTAAGGTGAGGATCTTTGGAATTAAAATTGGAATCTCTTTGTCATGGACGAAGAAATACACAAAGGTTCAATCAAGTTTTTAAAGGCAAAGAAAGTTGTACTC